CAGACGATTAACCTGAGAGTGTTGTGTGAAGAGATCACGGACCAGAGCCTGTCGTGATTTTACAGAACTGTCCGCAGAGAGCAAGGAGATTTATCTAAAACCATTGTCTTCCGGGAGCAAAAAATGGCTGCAGACGCGTCAGAGGCTAAATCGCACAATAAAGCAGATGCTAGAGGAGGAGTAGTTTGCGCTGAAGAACGCGACCTGTTCCGAAGCAGTGAATATCGCTTAAATCATTCTGAAAAGCTGCGGCATCAGACATCTTTAATCTGGATACTAGTCCTTGACCCTGATGCTCCAAAGGACGATCGCAAAAACACCAACGACAGTCAGTGTGCAAATGCGCATTTGTTCTGTACAACATGGTGTGAGAATGTACATTCACTACATGTACCCTACGTGCGCTCTACTAATCGGTTTGAGGAACACGGTACAACTTCCTTAGATAGAAACTATTTTAAAGCCCTCGCTCTGTGATCCTTCATCTGTGCTTCAGATATGGTAGTCTGTTCAGAGGAATTTAATTTTCGCAGCAACAGTTTTCAAGTATTTAAATTCACGGTCCATGTCCAACCGTAAGTTTTGCACACAAGTCGATGCAATATTCGTTAAAGTTGCTAAATGCATTTCGCTTTGCCATTCCTTGGAGTCTTCAGACTGTGGAGTACCGAGAAACTGATTAACCACGCGCCACTAACCCTCGAATACCTTTACGTCCGAGTGACAATAAATCTTAAGTGTTTTGGATCAATTTTAAAGCCCTTCCGACTTTTCGCCACGTCTTTGAATGAACACTTAAAGGCGAGGCACTTTTTGACAAACTGCGATACACAAAGTCAATCTGGTACTTACTGTTTTGGCAACCTATCGAATTGGAGTACGCAGTCGTGCACCGAGCGGGACAAGTTTCTCTATGGAAACCAGACTCAAGCCACAAGCCTGCGATGCCCCCGTCACGAGGTCAGAAGTTTCTCAACGAAATTGCCTACCGCAAGATGTAAGTAAATCGCCCTTACGGCAACGACATTTAAACTTTAGTCATATCCGGTTAGTCTGGCTGTTAGACTACTCTGGCTTTATAAGTGAGAGAACTGGGAGAAGCAGTTTTCTTATTCTGAAAAATCCCTTCAAAGAGCATCGACTCTTTGAAACCGTATACATATGAAAAATTCAGTACTGTGCTTCCAAAATGCTCCAGTAAAGTCTGTCCTCTGATTTGTGTCCTAGAGAACGATTGATGATAATGGTAAAGAATTACGAGCCAGATGAAGTACTCGTCAGTACATCCTCACGCGGTTTCATATTTGCTTTGAACATCCGTAATCGAATCTGGTGGTTAGCGAAACGGTGATAATCTGGAACTACTGATTTCGTTACACCTTCCGGTAACAGGATATTTCCAATATGCGCCAAGGTGGAAAGAACGTTATCAACTTTCATATCTCCCATTTTAGGAAATAAAAAATTTCTTCATAATGTTATCTGCACTTTGAGGAATGAGCATTATGCTGTTGGACAAATTTCCCCAATCCATTGTGTCATGTTCTTTCGATAGCTGACACAATGAATTATTTTTAGTCATCATTTAGAGTTGTGTAAGTTTCATCACTTTGGTTAATTTCACCCGGCAAGCTTCATCGCGCATGTTCCTTCAGTGTAAAATCAAGAATCGTCAAAGTCTGTTCAGGATATCAATGTCGTGATGAAATAATTTCACCGTTCATTCATCGACTGTAATTGATACGGACGATGTCTCTGATTTTTCATTTGGAATATTATTTTGAATGATATCTGTTTTAAAGTTATAAGGACAGCTGCTGTTTCTTATAGTTATCATTTCCTCCTTAAGTGATCTTTAGCTGGTATGTTGCTACAATAAATACAATGTTCCGCCATAAGTGGTACCCAACCAGATAAGATGAAAAAAAGAAAGTAGAACAAATGAGCAGGTCAAACGATTTTGCTCAAGACTCCGTCGTGGAGGCAAAACGAGGTATCTGATATGGACGGGATGCGGTGGTACCTTAGAAACAACTAATGAATGTTCGTCGTAGTCTGAGGTCAAACAAGGAACTTGAATAGTGCCAGAAATTGTCCTCAAATGAAGAGTTTTATTGTGTGTTGTGTCAACGTCATCAAAGGCTATCAGAGCTTAGGCCGCAGAGTGGCCAGTATTTATGTCTGACCTTTGGAAATGGTATCTCAGATTGACATTAGGCAACGTTCATTGATGCGGCACAGGTCATATTCCTCGTCCCCACCATGTCTTCCTCGGCGATATGTCGGTATGTATTGTCTCCAGTATGTCTGGCCGTTACATATTGCCGTACTCTCTTAGGGCTGTTTTATCAAACCAAACCAATGCCGGTCTCTGGGTTTATGCAGTGGTCTTCTCAGACCATTGGTCGTCAGAATTAAAACGATTGTCGCCCGTTCGTGGTACGGTGAGGGTGTTTCTTAAAAGTGTCGTTTGAAGCTGTCTTGACGAGTTTCAGGACGCTTCATGACTGAAGATGTTTCGAAACTGTACACTGGTGTTGCCACGATTTACAAGAATACAATTACCGGCGTAATGATGTGAAAGCACAAGCAAGTTCGGAATGGGAAAGTGCATCCGACAGATAGAGGGACTATCACCGAAGTTGTTCACTGTAGCCATATAAGTGGCTTTCGAGATACTCTGTTGGGAACACAAGAGGATGAACATAAACTGGAGCAACGTAGGCTAGCTGTTCTTTGCGGACGATTTCCTGATCCTCTCAAGATCACCAGAAGAAATCGGAAAAGAATCCGAGAGCTGAACAATATCAGCATAA